TATCTGTGGTGGTTAATCCCAGACAAAGACTACAGTTTGCTATTCCTGGCAAGCAACTTAGCCTTTTAAATCGAAATCCAATTACACGCTTTGGAAATCAATCACACTCGCGTTTAGCTTTCGCGACAGACTAGCGAGTACAGAGACTCCAAACTGTATGATCCGAGTTTGGGTTGGCATATTCATGCGCCAGCCGAAGCCCAGTAATTCGGCCAGAAACCTCTTCCTTGTTTTGTTAGAAAACACGATCGGTGACATTTTCAACCAACGCCGGGATTTTTTTCCAAGCCTCTCAAAGATTTACTTATGAGATTTGGCGTGCAGAATTCGATTTAATCCCTGAGTGAACGCCGTGCGATGTGGATGTGACATAGACTTGACTTTTTGTCGATGAATGGAGATGTCAGACAAATCAATATAACAAGAGTTGAGTTTCCAATTAGCTTTGAAACCGAGGGCCAAAGACCTCTCTTTTTGTGGAAAGAGTTGAAAAAAAAAAGAACTCCGCTGTCACAAATAACCGTAATTTTAAAATGTAAAATGCGTCTGTATGCCTAGGTACCTTTCGCTGAGAGAGGTTTACGACGGCAGAGTAAAAGCAGGGTGACCGTTTTAGCCGAATTTCTGCTATAGATTGACAGATTTTATTGAAAAATAAATCCGCATTTATAATATTTATTCTCTTCAGCTGGGTTACTTCATGCATCAACTCAATAACAGTAATTTACCAAAATTCATTTGTGCAATGTTTCTAAAAAAATATTAAGTTCACCATTATTTCACAAGGAAGTCTCATGAATTTCATCGATCCCACACACTCACACAATGCTCCCTAAAAAACTGTGAAATATGAGGGGGCCAAGCTGTGTAGTTCTAATGACATCTCCTTGAAAAGCATCTCCAGTCTTTCTCTCTTTAAACGTAAAAACCAAAAATAAGCTGCTGAATAAATTAGTTATACAATTATTAAGGTTTTTCACGAGGATACAGGCTACAGGTCCCAGGTTAGGCTACAGGCTACATACTGTACTTCTTAATCATGTCATTATGATACTATTCCTTGTTAGGTGTTTGTGTGTGTCTGTTTTTTTGTAATCTGTATAATTGTTATGATTGTAACTATAGGGGCCTCTACTCGACAAGCTTTGCTTTAAGGGGCCCCGTCTCATGTGTTATGGTAATATTACCGACAAAATCGACTTTGTATGAAGCCCGGCTTCATAGCTTTGCCCTTTTTATGTGGAAAATAAAGTGAAGTGGAGTGTAGTGAGTTCAAGTGACTGAAGACTGTTGAATAACCGTCCTCGAAGTCCTTGAATTGGGTTGGACTTTTGCAACAATCAATCGTGATTAAAAATCTCAGGAAAACAACTCCAAAACGGCATATATCTCACAGCATTCTAACATACCATAATCCCTTTCACACATTCCCTTAATTATTTGGTAATTCTGTTTCTTAGAAAATATTATCAATGGACTGCACGCCTTGCACGAGTTAGACAAATTGAGCTTGATATATCTTACACTCTATTTTTAACCTGGCAAACGTATATACCATACCTAAGGTGATTCGGTCTGAAATTAACATCGTCTGAATAGAAACGGGATTGTAATGTCGGGGAAAACTCTAAATATCCAGCAAAGGTATTTTCTAAAACTTAAAACAGTGCCTCGCCGTTGAAAAAGTGCCTCATCAGTGTGAAATAGCAATAGTTTTTCTTTCTTTCAAAGTGAACTAAAGGAAGGGGCAGAAGGTATTCGCTTAAGACGGTTAAAAACAAACAGAAGTATTTGGAAGTCTCGTAGTTCATGTAGCCAAACTTTGACCATTTTCCAGTTTTCTCTACGGCCCCACCTTTCAGGTATACAAACATTTTCACGAAGAAGCCATTTTTGATTGTGTTCCCTAAATGTATTTTATAAATTATTAACTGTTGAATGGGATGGGGCCAGACTATCAATGCATTCCAAGCCTTAGGCTGCATCCGAATCAGCTGTCTATAAATAGAGCTAGGTCTAGTTCTGCGCCCATTGAAAATACGCGTGGACGCGCAGAAAATGACGTAGGTAGCCGTAGCTCTTGAAGCCCGATTCGGACAGGGCCTTCATTTTTTTAATGTGGCTGAAAACAGGGTAAAATTATGTTTAATCACACATTTCAAATTATTCATCAGTAGACTGGTAAGCCTATTAATCTGTATTTAACTTTATTTCACTGCCTTCATTTCAACTCGAAAGTACCAAATATGAAAATTTTACCTCGCTTTCAATTTAACATGGCCGACTCGTAAATAAGGCCCATCGAATTGCACAGCGAATCTGTTATTAATCGACCTAAAAATAATTCCTGAAAACTGCGTGACAACTAGATTATAATAGGCCTACCCAACTGCTCTGCAGACTTCACCAAAGTGGTCTATCACTCACGCAGGATTAAGATGCCGGTATAAAAAAAACACCACGCTCTTTTTAGACGCATCTTGGTGCAGACACCAAATGGGCGGGATGTAATCCTGCAATTACGCACCCACGAGGGGATAACACACGATGGATTGTCGTCCATAATATGGGACAGAGGACCCCCCCCCCCTCTTTTGTGTTGGTCATTGTTTTACCAGAATCTCAGCAATTCTTTTGAGATATCTTGGAGGATGTGTCAGGTAACAAATACGGGGGTGGGGGTATTCCTCTGTCCCACATCGTTCTGTGTATATTGTCGTAAATTGAAAGATTGAGCTGAGTTACATGAACTAGCAGCTATAGATGGCTTCTGTGTTTGGCTAAAAGGACACCATTGCTTCTATTCTATTGTTTGAGTTCCCAATTTGTTTGAGACAAAAGAGCGCAAGAGCCACACGTTTTCAACAAAGCATGTAAATGCCGGTGATGGTTATACGTCACTGACATTGATTGCTTAAAACCCTTTTCATCAACAGCCATCTTCCGCGTGTATTTTTGAAAGTTTAATTTAATGAATTCACGAGATGTCTACCTAAGCGTATTCCTTTATTGGAACCAAATTTCACACTGCAAAGATACATGCGTGCGGTGCAAAAAGATCCGTGACAAGGGGAAGCTTGAAATTTACCTTCTACTCGATTCCTGCCCTCCCACTAAAAAAACCCAAGATTTTGGTTTATATATTTATTCATTAATTTATTTATTTTTATATTAAAAATTTTGGGGGGGAGGGGTTCGTTTGCTTATCTTCAGCTTCGATTGTTTGTGTTTTTATTCACTCTCTTTACGATATGTATGTTGAGCTTATGTTGACAACATGGAATCCAACCTAATGGTTGCTAATAAATATTTAGCCTACCCACCTCACTTTGATTCTAAATATTATACTGTAAAGTTTCGGACCGTGTATACTGCCTCTGCGTGTGATTTTGTGAATAATCTGTTGAGGTGTATCAGTGTGTATCAGTTGACCAAAAAATACGATGTCTGTATTGTGCTTTTATGCATAACACAAAAGTTCAAAGGGCAATTTTCTCCGTTTCAACTTCATGACATCACCAGCATTCAAATGAGCATGACTTTGCCAAGTACAGTCCGTTTTGCGAACGCCATCGCAAGGTATTAAGGATTATCGGTTTTCGGTTACATCTTTATAGTCCGACGTCCCATTGGTCCGAAGGAACGTATAGACCAATGGACCATCGGACCAATGGACGTCGGACCAATGGACGTCGGACCAATAGACGTCGGACCAATGGGACGTCGGACTACAAATGTATATGGTTTTTTTCACAGCAATGTTTAACACCTGTTTCCGACCAGCTGCCGAGAAGAGTATGTTTTTAACAGGAACAGAATGTATGTAAACGCGTTAATGCACATTTGACTACTCAATTGGAAACTACACAAAGCACCCCTGTCAGCTATCGTTTGACGCAATAGGCATAGTTAATGCTTTCCCTTTTGACGAGAAAGCACTGCCAATGGATGTCGATACCTTTTCACGCCTCGTTTAATCACAATCTCCGCCAATGCTGTTAGTTAATTGCAATCCTATCCACCCTGATGATGCCCTTTTCGTTGCCACGATTTTGTCATCGCTGAATAATCTTAATGAGCTTTTTAAGATGCCTCACTGCGTCCCAACTTCATCACTGTCTCCAGTCGGTACATCATTACTGTAATTATCTTTTTTTCTCACCTATTGAGGCCTGTACCAATTTACTGCTATCTCACAGACGTGACAGACTGTTAGCCTACAATAATAATTAATATCACATGTCTTTCGAACCAAAGAAGTGAGAACATAGTTAATATGATCTTTTCTTCTACGCTAATTTCATGTAAAGATCTGATGATGCTAGACTGATATTCTCGATCAATATATTTCCAACTGTTCTTTCGGTATTATCAACCTTGGCAAGACAAGGACTCAACCAGCCCACCAACAACCGCACGCTCGAGTGGTCTGGGGAGGGTAACGGAGTCCTCAGCAGCATAAGGAAACCGTGTGGCTAGATTCCTACCTGTTTAAACACTTTTTGTTTATGTAGGAACTTCGCGAGCACTCAAAGCACGAAGTCGGGAGTTATCGAGTGGCGAAAAACATTGTCTCAAAACAAGGTCTTAAAAACAAATCGCGCTGCCTCATGTATGTATTACCCTTTCTGTTTAAAAACAAAACAGGGTAATGCTGGATTATATACACACAAGGGGCAAAACAGGCATTACGAAAGGGACTTTCAGTTTCTTTCGGGTTTTTTTTTTGGGGGGGGGGGGGGCGGGGTTAGTTTGGTTGTCTTTGCTTTACATGTGCCGAACTATTATGGGACTTCAATGCATGGTTACAAATTCCCACTCTCGTCCCAAATCCACTCCTACAAACAGATTGACTGGGTCTACATATAGTACATGCAATTTAATAAAGCGTAGTTAAGCTACTTTTATTCCCTGAAGAGACTGTATACAAGTCCCCACCTACACGTGATTAATTTCATCCTAAGCCTAAAGAGTCTTAGACGCTTTTAAGGACTTCTTACCTTCCCCCACGATCGCCAAGCTCAGGAGACCGAAGGCAAGGATGAGCCGGGTCTGACGAGTGACCGCAAACAACATCGGAAATAAACACCACTGAATGGATACGGTGAACTCTGTAACGAAGGCTTCCACGTATAGCCGGTCGTTCACTTCTGTACAGATAAAAGGTCGTGAAAAACAGGAACAACGTTAGAGTTTCTTTGAGTTTTTTAATCTGATATGATTTGATCTGAATTAAAAACAAAATCAGCAACAAAGATTTCATATGATCAAAATTACACACACGCCCTTAATTACAGACAAACACTTGTGGAAAAACCGAGAAGACCTTTGATTGTGTGCATAATGTGTGTACACACAAACATACAATAAAAGGTATAGGCCTACAAGTAATACCAGGGAAAGCTCATGAAACTTTCAAAACTTATTTTCTATGGTGCCTTTAAATTGCACACATTTTCTTTCTTTTTTTACAAAATAGTCCGTTTTTTAGATTCATTTCTTACAATCCTGATTACAAGCAAATCTCTTTTTTTCTGTCTGCTCATTTTTTTTGGCTTGATAGTGCAGTTTCATCGAGCGTGTTATCGTCAATGACATCTGCTTTCTGATCCGACATCACGATGAATTGATACAGTCTGTGCCCCATTCAATTGCTAAATGTTGTGAGTTCACCAAACTATCCCGCACCCTTTTTAAGTTCTGGCAAGAGCTTCTACATGTCACTTGGTGGTCGGTCTGTCGGTCAGTCGGTCTGTCTGTCTGTCCCCGGATAATTGACCAAAAAAGCCCAGTAAGTTTCCCATAAAATATAACTACTACATTTTAATTTTCAAACAAAGCAAACAATTAAATTTAATTGAATACTTCACGAATTTGTAACAATTCGGAAAGATGTTTATGAAAAGTTTGTAAATGGAGGCAAAATAATTATGTGCAGTTATGTTATAGTCACATGGTATCTTTCACAAATCGCTAGTAAATCTAAAGTATGGTTTTCCATATGCGCCATCAGTGTCGTGTTTTTGGGCGTCGCATTTTTCAGCTCTTGCATGGATTCGCTCGAACCCCCCCCCCCCCCCCACCACCCCCGCCCTGCAAACAGGACGTTGGGTTACTCAAATGAGCTCCACAGAATCCAACCTCGTCCCCAGTGCTTACTTTATTTCCAACCGCGTTTCCAATAGTGAACCCTGGATAGGAAACTTTCTTCCAGTATCCTGATTGGATACCGCAATTGGCTAGTAATGGATTTTTATCGTGTACTTGGTGCAATTATTCACAACGTGCAGTACGTGTTTTCGCGATCATTCGTCCACGCCTCCTCGAAAATACTAATTTCCTTTCCAATTTGCTCATATTAATATGAAATATGATACTGCATGTTGTCTCGATAAGATCGTAACAGTTTGATTTCAAAAATCGTGTTTTCGTAACTCACGCCGTGCTCGCGCTACAACGAATTGACTCTGTTTTTACCCCAGACACCGCATACCAAAGCAAACGCTAATGTGTAACGTATATCCAGGCACCAAACTGTTCCTCATTTGTATACGTGTTCAAAAATCTTGCACATGCAAATGATCCAATATCAGGATGAGAGAGCAGGTAGTGGTGGGCGCGTACTGCTCGACACCCTGGGGACGAGGTTGCACAGAATCCTGTGAAGAAAATGGCCTATGACCTATGTATAAAGCATCTGGCTGCAGCTGTTCAAGACCGCAGTTAGACAAAGTGCGCAAATAGTATCCGAAAACTTCCCATAGAAATGCTCACATTCCATACCGGATGTGATTTCTGTTTCATTGCGGACCATGTGGACAAAATTTTGAGCGTCGCATAATGCAATCCGACCGTTCGTGATTCGAAACGGAGCCTGAGCAAGTGACGGGATTTGTAAATTTACAACACAGATAAGTTTTACAGAATTTCCTGCATTATTACGCTTTTCAACGACAAAAAATATCTCTAAACTAGATTAAAAGAGTAATGAATAAGCCTTAACGGCCGTTTCAAACCTTGCAAAAGCATGACCTTGAAGACGCGCAGGTCACTGGTCACGCAAAATCCTACCAATCAGAGCGTGAATTCATCAGAGTGTCCCATGGATTATGCATGGTTATTTTGATAGATTTCATCCCAGACTTTCATGCAAGACGGCACTCGCACTTGTTTTTTTCTTTTACCTGCATCGCGCGAAAGTGAGAGCAGCTATTGGTAGCGTATTGCTCAACGTGATGGCGACGAGGCTGACGGGGGCTGCAAAAGTGAATTGATATGCCTCGCACGTGCACGGAGGAAATAGAGACCATCGGAAATGGTGCAAGTACGGATACGAATGCGGCTGGGAAAAGACTAGTTGCATGGTGATAACACCCATTTGAATGATTATTATAAATCACATAATATCTAAACGATTTTGAGACAGAGTGCCGTGTGTACAGCTCAGTGACAGAACAATCCTTGATGGACTGTAAAACTATCGATGTCTCATTCCTGTCCATTGTGTTTAATGACGTAATTCACTTAAAAATTTGAGCTGAAATAAACACAGGAGATCCCGATTTACTCTTGATAAAAACGAATGCGTGGAGGTCTCGCAAATCCACGTCCGCTTTTTGAAGCGAATGTCTTGATAGTCACGGACCCCTGAACATGTACATGTACATGCACTTCTCTGTTGCCTATAAAAAAAAGCACGGTGGACTGATTGGAAGTGAAGGTAAATTTTGTCGTCATTTGTTTTACCACTTTTTAACAACAAATACTGTTAAATTAAATGCTCTCTTTCCGTGCACAAACGCAGTCTGCTGCAGTTTCAATCTTACGCAGAGTCATACACGAAACAATATGCAGGGTGAGTAAAAAAAAACTGCAATAATGCAAAGGATCGATTTTTTTTTCAAAACCAAGTTGAAGTTTTTAAATTTTGTAAGAATGACAGATACGTTGGTAACCTTGTATGGAAAAAAATGAAGATAATTGCATTTACCGTTTGTCTTTTGTGAACCTTTTTACTGCTGTACCCGATTTATGTTTTGTCCACGAGGCATCAGAATTTCGCATGAAACTGACTGAACAATAGCTCAAGCTTTGTTGTTCTGTTTCACTTCTTTATGTTTATGCAACTTTCTCTGGGCTATACTGTAGTTACTGTGTCCTTCGTTACTCACACAATTGCAGGTACCAGGCAACCCTGCAAGGCAATGCATGTCTCAGCTCTAGACCTCATGGAAAGAACGGCTCTGTGGGACACATTTTGAGCTCTTATGCAATTGTTAGATGCCTCGTGGACAAAAACGTAAATCGGGTACCGCAGTAAATAAGTTCCCAAAAAACAAATGGTAAATGCGATTAAATTCTTTTTTTTTTACACAAGGTTAAACGAATATGTCATTTTTCAACTTGGTTTTGAAAAAAAAAGATGAATCCTGTGCATTATTGCACTTTTTTTTTTACTCAGCCTGTATTCAAAGAAAACAAACACATGCAACACACGTTTCAGCATAATGGCTACAGTGATTTACGATAGGCTTCGAAGCCTTCTCTTATAATGTTGCTGTTTTGTGGTAAACTATAGTGGACACTGGCACACTGTTTGGATTAAAGCTCAGTTGACTGACAGTGCGCCGAAACAATAACACCCTTGACATCTCGATAGAACTATCAACTCAATTCCCTAATGGAATTCACTTGCAACTGTCAGATACAGGTTCCCCTTTGGATGTTTTCTCTGTGAAACTACGACAGTTACGAACATTTCCCTGTAGCAACCTCAATCTCCGCATGAAACACATTTTGGCAAAACTACGAGTAGAGGAATCGGAATGCTACATTTGTGAATAACAGCTCACTCAAAATGAAATTTATTGATGACAATTTGACAAGGAAATTATCAATCAAGCCCAACAATATTGTGGAACGAAATTTAAAGGCACTTTAGTGTAATTACCAGGAAAAACACCTGATGATTTAATGTGAAAATGATCCGCCAGAGTTGGTTGAAAATATCATAGAAAGTTTTCTTTAAAATGCGCCTGCCGACAAACTTATTTTCATGCATTAGGCCCTCCAAAATGGGTATGAGTTTTCTCTGTTTTCTCTATGTATAGTATATCAACAGAGCAGAAACTTTCATAGATAACATAGTTGTTATGCTCCTACAGTTTGAGCAATTTTGGTGCTTCAAATAAAAATAAAGTTGCATGAAGAGCAAATGATCCTATGACCTTTAAGTGCAATTCCATCGACTTTGTATAATACACTCAATTTCTCTGAGATCTCATTGGATGGATTTGACCCGGGGTCAAGACTTCCGGGTACGCATGACATGTGAGCATGAAACGTATATGCGTTGATCAAAGCGGTTAGCTGCTTACACAACCTCGTCCCCGCCCGTGGTGTTGAGCAGTACGCGCCCACCACTACTCTCCCCCCTGGTATTGGATCATTTGCATGTGCAACATTTTTGAACACGTATGCAAATGGGGAAAAGTCTGGTGCCGTCCTGTGATTTTACATCAGCGCGGGTTTTTTTTGTATGTGGTGTCTGGGGTAAAAACACATCAAATTCGTCGCGGCGTGAGCATGGCGTGAGTTACCGTGAAACGCGATGTTTTTAGTTACAATATTACAATCTTATCCAGTAAATATGCAGTATTACATTTCATATAAAAATGAACAAATTGGAAAGGAAAGGATTATTGTTGAGAAGGTGTGGACGTCATTAAAGTGAACGTGAAAACACGTTATACACGTTGGAAATAACAACACCAAGTACACGATACAAATCCAGTTCTTGCTAATTGCGGTATCGAATCAGGACACGGGAAGAAATTTCCTATCCAGGGCTTACTACTGGAAACGAGGTGGAAAATAATATAAGCCATGGGGACGCGTTTGCTTCTTTACAAGGCTTTGCGAAGTCTTGGTTTCCTTAAAATTTGTGTGAAAGACAAAAATTGCGTCTTTATACGAGCGAACGTCACTTTAGCAATAGGGGAATTGTTAATAGTGTGGCTTTAATACAGTGGAAAAATCAACGGACTGCATTGTAAACGTACGCCATCGCTTGGACGTTTTAATTACTCCCTTGATGGGATCCATGCAAGCTAAAGAACTTAATTAGGCGTTTTGTGTTTATATTCCCATT